GCGCTGCGTGGGCTGCGGGGGGCGCCTGCCTCCGGTCTCGGCGACTCGGGCCGTGCGTCTCCGCAGGAAGCCAGAGGCGCGGGGCCTGCTGTCGCTGTGGGACATGCTGCGGCTGCTGAACATGCTCGTGGTGTTCCGGTTCCTGCGCGTCATCCCCAGCATGAAGGTGCGGCCGCCGTGGCCTGCCCCGGCCGTGGAGGGCTGCCCGGGCCCTGGGCCCCGCAGCCAGAGGGCTGCCCAGGCCTGCTCTGGGCGAGGGCGCGGGGGGCCGGGGGCGGGGCGAGGGCCCCCGGTGGCCCCTGCTCCGGCGCCCTGGATCCTGCCTCTCCCGCCACTGGGGCCGTGGCAAGGCCTCGGCTCTGCGGCTGTGCTGACGCGGGCGAAGGCACCGAGGCTGGGTGCTTGCAGGCCCCTGCCAGGAAGGAGGGGGACGGCTGCCGGCTCACCTCTGGGCAGGAGTGAGCGGGTCGGGGGGCTGGCGCCTGTGTCCTGGGTCGGGGTGCCCGAGGGCCTGCCGGAGACTGCCGGGCAGCGGGGCCTGGCCTGGGGCTCACGGACGCGGCGTGCGAGGTGCCGGGTCGCCCTCCTGCCACCCGGGCGGGGGCTCAGGTGCCATCTGTTGCAGCTGATGGCCGTGGTGGCCAGCACCATCCTGGACCTGATCAGGAACATGCGAGCGTTCGGTGGCGTCCTGGTGGTGAGTCGGCTGGGCAGGGCGCGTCGGGTGCTGTGCCCTTCTCCCCTGCGCGTGGGGACAGGGCAGGGCTCCCCGCCCCGCCCTGGTGCTCCTCGGGCGCCCCGGTAGATGGGGAAGCTGCAGGAGGGGCCTGCTGCCAGACCTGTCCTGGGCGGGGGGGCAGCCTGGGCTTCGGACGCCGCGGCCCCCCACTTCCACCTCTGGGGCTCCCTGGCAGCGGCTCCTCCTCCCCGCCCGCGTGCCCGCTCTGCCGTGGGCACGGGAGTCGCGGCCGCCTGACACAGCCGCCCCCAGGTGGTGTACTACGTCTTTGCTGTCGTCGGCATCGCCCTGTTCCGAGGCGTGATCGTGGCTCCTGGAAACAGCAGGTCAGGGCCGGCCAGCGCCCGAGGGCGTGCGTCCGGGTGCCAGGGTGCCCTCCCGGGCCCGCGGTTGCCCGTGGGTGCCCCCCGGCTGTCCCCCAGCTGTCCCGCGGCGGCTGCTGGCTGCGTCTGGTGCCGTGTCCGCGCCACGCTGGCCCACGCCACCCTGCGGAGCTGCGCCTTGGGGTGCTTCTGGAGGCCCCAGGGCTCCGGGCGGGTGGGGACGCTGCAGGCTGCCAGCGGTGGGTGCCGACCCTGCGGTGACCCTGTGTGTCCCCAGCCTGGCCCCCAACGGCTCGGCGCCCTGCGGGAGCTACGAGCAGCTGGAGTACTGGTCCAACAACTTCGACGACTTTGCGGTGAGTCCGCGCCCGCCCGCCCGCCGCCCGCC